CCCCCCACCACCACCACCACCGGTCGTGGTACGTAGCCATCAGAGAGAAGGAGGGTTACATTCACAGCATGTAAGGGCCGGGCTAGACCTGGCGAATTTAACAAGATATACAAGTGCCACGCAACAACAGTAGCAACAGCAACAGCAGTGGCAGTAGCAGCATGAAACACGAGGCGTGGGTCCAAGTCGGCGGAGGGGGGGTGGAAAGGAGTATTCGCTTTCGTACAGAGATGCATCTAACAGCGTCGTGTAAAAAAAATCACACCATGTTCGGGGGGGGGGGGGGCTTGAGACAGAACATGTCTTTTGTTGCGAGAGCATGTGAGTGTGGGGTACGCAAGTAAGTGACTGGGGGGGAAGAGAGAAAAAAGGTGGGTGGGCATGTAGCGTCGTCCGTCATGTGTGTGTGTGCATTGCAGGGCCGATCGATTGGGATTGGGGGGAAGAGCTCACAGACGGTAGGTTGTGAAAGCTTGTTTTTTTGGTTTGTACGAGCATGGTGGTGTGATTGGTGGTGGTCGAGGGGTACATGGTAAGGCTAGAAAGAGAGAGAGAGAGACAGAGAGACAGAAAGACTAGCAAATGTGCGCAGGGCCCGTGGAAAGAGAGGGTGGGCATGTGGGCATGGCTATCATGTGTTGCAGATGGTGCAATGAGAAGCTGCCGGCAAGCGCTCTCTTGTTTGCCCTCCCCCAACTGTTTGCTCAACAAATACTCAAGGGCGACGCATCACAGCCAGTCGATTAGGGAACGACGTGTAGTCACGATGCAGGCAAAAAAGCTCTTCATTCAGGGTCCGTGTGTACGTGGCTACTACCAAGTTTCATTTGGCGCTTTCGGGGCTTTGTCCTCGAGGGAAGAGAGGACTCGCCAACTTTTTTTTCACACAAGCGCTGTACTACATGCCAATAAAACAATCCCAGTTCAAACAAAAGGTTGTACAACAGCAAAACCCGCGCTTCCACCCAATAGGTCTATTAGAACTTATCAATACTGATTGGATTATGTGTGCCCAACAAGTTCCCATTACTTTTTCCATCCTACCAAAAAGGGTAACAAAGACCCGCGACTGCGCTTGCCCTCTCGAGTCCCCCAGGACGGGGAACGAGTCAAAGGTGTAGCCGCCGAAACAGACAGCAAATGGTGCTCCGCAGATGAGCACAAGGGAAAACCATTAGATGAACAATGAAATTAGCTGAAGAGCCATCGCTGTGTAGAGCCACAGCGTGATGACGATGCTCGCTTTTCGCCCAATGCAGATGCATGCATCGCTTTTTTCCCAACCCGCCCAACAAACAAACAAACAAACACAAAAAATCCGCCCCATTGAAGGGGAGCGCAGTACGCCTCTAGTAATTGTTCAAACAAAGGAAATTCGTTGCTCTGATGAGTCGTAGTCGTCGTGGCGCAAAAATAAAAAGCGCCAATATGTTTTGGGTCATTCACTCGTACTTTCGTAAATCAGCCCTCTTTGCGCCTGATAGACGCAAGAAGGCCAGTAATGTACAGTCGCACGCGATCCATACAGAAAAATATGGTCGCGCGCGATGACGACAGAGAGGGTGGTTGTCCTCTGTCGCATTATCGTTCTAATATCCTCGGGTGCCATTCGAGGAACGGCCTAGGAACGAACTAGGAAACCGCAGGTCGTTGAGGAACCTGAAAAATGCGCGCTTGCGTGAAGGGTTGGCGGGAATTAGTGCAGCGGCTTGTTGCATGGGACCGACAATGTCCTCGTCACCAAGATTGGGGAATTTACCCTCGCTCTTCGGGTCGTGGAGCGTTGGCATCTTGCTGAGGGGCCCTGGCTCCGTGGGAGAGTATGGCGCAAGCTCTTCGCCAAGGGCAGCCGCATGTGCCTTGGCCATGTCATGGTTCATCTTCCATTCGGCGTCGATTTCAGCCCATTTTTGTTCGGTGAGAAGATAGTGCTTCGATGTTACTCCATAATGCTCGGCGGTGCGCACTTGGTGCTTTGCATAATTGCGCCGCGCTTGGGCCCACTCGGCCAGGTGCTCTTCGATAGATGCAGAGTCGCACACTTCGGGAATGTAAGGCTCGGGGAGGATGGTGAAGTTGGCGTGGCCCAAGATGTTAGCCCATTTGTCGTCCGGACTGGCGAGCATCAGGGGAGGGATATCGGCCGATGCCACGGCAAACCCTGCGTTTGGTCCTCGCATGGATGCGTACGAGGGCTTCGAGGAGAGAGGGGGTGTAGGGTAGGTGCGCGTTGGAGGGGTGGCAGCATAAGCTAGACCCGCTGACTGAGTCGTGTCAGCAACTGCTGGCGACTGCAAAGGCGAAGAGGCCGGTACGTCTTCGGTCCGAGAGTGTACGAGCATGGGCGGTAAGAGTGGCGTAGCGGCATATCGCTCTCGTTCTACCTCCTCTGGATCAAAGTCAATGTCCATGGCATTGGCCCTGTCAACATCGATGGCAAGTGGCGTAGGAACATCCTCGTTTACTTGCTCCCTGCTGATCAAAGCAGGGCTGGAGGTGGGCGGCGAGTATTCAGTTGCGAGGTCGACAGTCGACGCCTGGTAGAGGGAGCCAGCGAGTGACGAGGAGCGTGTCGAGGGTACTCGTGAGGGTGTTGTGCTGCGCGATACCCTGCTGAGGTTCGAGGTGCGGTCGCGCACTCTGCGCGACAGCGAGGGGAAGCGCCTCTCAATCTTGCCAGCAATGCTGTGTGCAGAGGCTTCCAATGACCGTCTTCGCTTTGCCGATTGTAGTCCAGAGTCGAGGGTGGTGAAGTACTCGTCCTGGGGGTCATATGCCCTAGATATCCTGCAGTGCTGTGCATGACCATAGGAACCTTGGGTGTCGCCTGAGTTTGGATCAGCACCGCAAAGGCAACAAGTTTGCAAGTCAAACTCACAAGAGCAGCGGTAGACGTCGTGGCCAACGAAGTCGTACTCGCGCTCAAAGGGTTCTTCTGTCAGTTTGGGTAGCTTTCCTGAGCCATTGGGGGCGTCGGCTGGGTCGTAGGTTGGCGGGCTCGACGACAATGACGAAGCCGAGCTGGGAAAGCGGAAGTGACCACGGATGTACTGGCTTGGCGTGGGCGGCGTCGAGCACTCGGATGCAGAGTAGAAGCCAGAGTCTGCATTGGAGCAGACAGACAGAGTTGGATCCTCGTACATGATTAACGAGCCCTTTGAAGATTTGCGCACGGCGGGCATGTGAGGGAAGACGAGCGGCTTAAGGTCGTGCATGATGGCGGTGGGAGGATGGCAGGAGCGGCAGTTTGGGTTGGCGGTCGGGGCGTGATGTGGAATTTGCGCGCCGGATGCTGGGATCCCATCCCCAGCTTAAAAGAGACAAGCGACCGAGACTGTGCGCAGGCTGAGAGCGGCCAGCACAACGCAGTCAATGGGCAGGCTTGGGGTTGGGCGTGGTGGAGAGGCGGTCGAGCAGTGTTTGGAGAGAGCCTGGGAGGGTGCCACGAAGCCGACCACGTATGTACAGCCTAGGCTTGGTGGTGCTGCAGCGACAAAGTCAGCGCGTGCGGGCGGGCAAGCGGCTCCCAAAGCGGACAGCACGTGAGGGCGCAGGGCTGGGATAGGTCCAACGTACGTACCGAGGTGCAGAGGGCGATGCTCGATGCAGCAACAATCGACAGCGGCAGACAACAGATGGGGTGGCTGGGTCTATGCGATCCGGTCGGTGTATATATTGTGGGCTGATGGTGGTGGATGTTGTGATGGTGGTGAATTGTTGGTCGAGTGGTTGAGTGGTTGGCAGAGTGAGTGTGTGTGTGGCGTGGACGAACAGGAGAGCGAGGGGAGACGGGCAGTGGGCAATGGGCAATAGTGGCAGGCGTGGGATGGGATATGGGATATACAGGCGGCTTTGTGCGTGGGCAGGCACAGGCAAGGGCAAGGGCATGGGCAGGGCAGTGACGACCCGTGCAGGGCAGGCTCCTTTGACTTGCACTTGCACTTGCACTCGCACTTGGACTTTCACAGCACTGCGCGCGCCAAGGCCAGCGAGAAACCGTCGCCCCGAAGACTGGCTAGAGAGGGCCGGGTTAGCCGGCGCCGGCAGCTGTGAAAGCCACGCCGGTTTCGACGACAAGGGCCCCGTCCGCTTCGGTACACAAGACCGTGACCGTCGCCGTGACCGTCACGCCCGTCCACGCCCACCTCCTGTCTACTTACTTACTTGCACTTGGATGGTCCCATTCTATTCCAACCCATCCCAGCACGCCGTCGCTTCAAGCATCCCCTGGCCCCAGGCACCCCCCCTCAGCTCTCAACCCTTCTCATTCCAGCCAAGCTTCTGAGTAAGACATGCAGGAACATCCGCTCAAGCACACCTCCTCGTCCCCCATCCTCGACCACTCCACGCCCGCCCTTGCACCCGTGGTCTGGTGTTGGGCAGATGCACATGCCCAGGCCACACCCTGCAAAGTGCTCGCTCCTGTGCTGTCCTGTGCTGTGTCTGTGTGCGCTGCGGTCCTGTGCGCGCTGCTCTACACAAGTAAGTACTTGCGGTGGTGCCGTGCAACACCCACCACCAACCGTGCTTGTCATTCACCCTCTACCACTCGACTGCTGTGAGCGCAACCATGGCTGCCACTTGACAGACTCGTCTATCGGGGCAGTGCACGCAAACTCGCCTGCCTGCACTAGACCACAGTAGTCTTTGCCAACCCCCATGCTGTAATTGCTTTTGCCGCTCCTTGGTCTTGCACCTGCTCCTCCCTTTGCCGTCTCTGCAGCAGTGATGACATCCACACACGTCTTCATCTCTTTGGCGCCCGCCCGTGTTTTCTTTTCTTTTTTTCTCTTTCATCTGTCCCGTCTTGCATCCACGCATTGATTGGCCCACTCCTGAAGCGTAGCAAGGGGTCTTGGGCTGTGGAGTGCTAACAAACAAACATTGAACTGCCGTCTGAGCCTCGCCATCTACTCAAAAACAAAGTTATGGCACCACCCTTCCAACACTCGCCCTCGTGTTTCAGAACAACATCCCTTATCCTTATCCATCCTCACGAGTCAACTAGTTGACTACCATTGACCATGATACGATACGAGCCTCGAAATCACATGGTGTAGGCGGTCTGTACCTGACAAAGTCCCAAAGGCGCCCTACAGGGGAGACTAGGAGAGGTTAGGGACAGCCTTGGAGCCCAGCGGCAGAGAAAAACCAGCATCCGAGCATGCTTCTACGCCAAATCTGGGAGCATTTTTGTGCGCGCTAGACCGTTGGCCCACTCGTGATTGGCGCCAGCCCCCTGTCGCGCTAAGCGTCTCTTCCTGCTCCCCGGCGCCTTGCTTTCACCCGCCCCTTGTTTGCGCGTGCGTGCTTGCAAGCCTCATACCTCACCGCCAGCATTCCCTCCCTTTACTTACCCCCAGGCTATGGTTCCCCGGTGTGTGTGCGCTTCTTTCCAAGGTTTCGGCAACGTCATCAACCTTTTCGCCTCGCCCTTGTTCATACCCCGGATACCGCTCACTACCCTACTCTAGCACAAACTTTTGTCCGAAGTGAGAAAAAAAATTTTGTACGGGCCTACTTTGTTCCCTGCCGCGTCCAAGTACACCTAGCCGACAGACTTCAACACATGAAAGCGAAGAAGTTTACAGAAATTATGGAGCTTCCAATCGCTATTCCTCTTATGTTATGCCGGCAACACGGTGACAGGCTCCTGGGTCCTCGCATCATGACGACAAGGGCGAAAACAAGTGCGCGTAGTGTCGGTCCCGGTCTGAAGTCGGCAGCCGCCCCGCTCGCTTGATGGTCTTTTTTTTTCTCTTGCCTGGTCGCTGGCCAGACCAGACGGCACGGAGAGCATGCAGACGCGGGCGGGACAATACCGTTTGCGCCAAACCCATCCACTCCTGCTCAACGCTCAGCGTGCATGGCTTAACGGCCTCTCTCTCCTACTCGCCTGCCCTCGTGCTGTATATTGCACAAGAGGGTCCCGGAAATTTCATTGCAATTATCGAAAATGGCTTACGTCAGGACAGACTCGACCACGTGTCGCCCTCGCACTGCTCCTTTTGTCTCCTCATATGCAATATGCTGCATACATGTACTTAACAACACACGACATATTTTTCCCTGATTGATTGGAAAAAATAAAAGGACGAGTAGTGGGAGAAAAAAAGCACGCAAACACTCCGAATGCCTGTCCGAGCTTCCATGTCCAGACCCCTCTAGTGGCGCTGATCCGTTGGGTTGACCGGATGCGTTCCTTGGCCTAACGTGGCATAATCCACCGGTATGTTGAGCCCCGATGCCCTGCGCCATGAATCCACACAACATGGGTACTTTTGCTATCGATAACGCTTGTCTACGCCCACCGCAAATCCTGCCAAAACTCGGGATATCGGTGTGCAAGCAAAACTACATAGTACATGATGTATATTATGCATGATTACCAGGCCCAATCTTCATGCTCATATCCACTCAGTCCGCGGAGCCCCTCGAGCCCCATTGTTTGTGCGTGCGAACAAGAAAAAGAAAAAGGTATCCCGTACCTTCAACCCACTGACGTGAACCATGGAAACAAGCAAACGTCACTAGACAAAAAGGTACCCAATCCCAATTTTTTTTTGTAGGGGCTTTTTTTTCTCTCCCGAGAAAACGGCGTAGAAAATGAAATAGAATAGACTAATGCTGCGAACACGCGCCGGGATCCATGTCGGCCCCTCAGCAAGCAGTCTCGAGCTCTATTTGCGCTCTGGTCCAATCGCGACGCGTCCGACTTGCTGACATCTCTTCAACCCTCTGCCAGCGTCGTAATCTCCAATATTGGTAGAGTGGGGTAGCAGTTCGGTCGTGCTCGCTTTGACAATTCCCATCAACAAATCAAATCCAGTATTTGCTCCACAGTCTTCCTTGCTCGTCCGAACCTTCAAACTGCATCCATGTCTTGGTCAGCCTTGCCTTGCCTGGTCGTCTCCTATAGCCGAATACCCCAGCTGCCCCAATATAGACTAGGAGGCCCATGCCATGTTGATCGGGATCAAATCAAACGTACCTGAAAATCAACCTTGACAATGTCTACAAATCCTTCCGTCAGCTTGGGCTCGCGGTATCGTGAAGCGAAGCCACTAAAGGCAACGTGGGGTAGCATAGTGCGAGATTCGCGGTTCGTCTATGTGGAAATGAACGTCAGCAGGGATGCCTCTCTAGACTACACCTCTCCGACAGCAAAAGGTATTCATAGCACTGGTGGACTCCTTCATGCGCACACGCATTAGCTTCCTCTTTAGGATAGTTTCCTCCACAAGTCTCGAGTAGTCTGGAAAAGTCGTTCACACCAGCTGCTGCGGAAAGGATTGCCGTCATGCAACTTACTTCGGGCCCAACGTTCAACGCTCGAAATATGTCGTTGTGCTCACACAGCTTAGGTGGAGCTGTAAAGAGCACACATCGTAGAGGCACCTTGAGCTTCTGCGCTAATGCAACCCACACGGCTCGAGTGTTTGGATCGGCATTGGTATTATCTGATTCCGTTAGTGTCGTAAAACGGAATCATCTGGGGTTCCGGATGGATGTACCGATAACCACACTCGTACCCTCTTCGATCAGCGCAGTAGCTGACTTGACGCACTTTTCGCGCTGATCCAACAAAGTTACTCAGAAATGCATACACGTCGCACGGCTAGTGCAAAGCAATGGCCAGTCAGCAACGTACAGTTTTAAGAATATCTTGGTTCACTCGTTCATATCCGAGTGGTTGCAGATGCTTCCAATAGAACGAGGATTTCCCAGCTCCGGGGCTGCCGCAGAATAGGACCATCTCTGGCGCTTCCGCTTTCGTGAACGCTACTAGCAATATCAAAATCAATAATTAGATGATCATATTACAAGTGCAACGCTGAATGTCAAACTTACGTGCAGATGTTGAGTCTCCACCCCGCCCCTTTACGAAAACGGTTGGATCAAAAGTTCGTATGAACGGTCTTGGCTCTTCGTGGCGGAAGTACTCCTCTGGCGTATGGAACGGTATGCCGACATTAGCTGCAAAGTCTCTGGACGCCCGTTAATCTCCACATTTAGCAACCGCTCGGCGTGGGGCATGTACGGACCTGTCTGAACACGCGTGGTCCTTCAAAACACCACCAGGCACAGCCTCACGACCGCCGGCATCCCCAACAAATACCGATCCGTCCAAGTCGACTGCCCCGGGTTTTTCTAGGTCGTGGTCTTCCAATAGTTCCTCCCACATACCCGTCCTAGGCTTTCGATATTGATCCCG